TGTATTTATTATGAATTTCGAACTAGTCACGATATGGCTGAAATATTGCCGATGTGACTTTAAATCATAACTCACTCACGAAATGGGCGACAGATTTTAAGACTCCGATATATAATAGGGGGGACATCGAATGATGGTCGACGCCGTTTTTCGGATTTTCCAACCATCGGTGGGGACATTATTTACCAAACTGCGGTGGTAACCATATGGCCTCTTCCAAGTTCTGCCAAGTGTGGAAACGCGAATCCGAGATACTAAAGATCAAACACAAAGAAAATATCTCCTTTCACGAAGCAAAGAAGAGGGTTGCAAGTTTAACTGCAGCCCCTTCAACCATCACCTACTCTTCTGCTGTCTCCCGTCCTACCATCACTACTGCAACCATCTCATGTCAGACCGACCTGACAAGGGTCACGTCTTCTCAGCCAACTGAACTCAACACAACTCAGCCTATCTCAGCCACTCCATCTCCAACGCCAAAACTTCTGAATCACAAACACCAGAACAAATGCCAAAACCAGAAACAGAAACTGCGCGCAGAAAAAAGGGAAAGAAAGAGGCTAGAGAGACTAAAACAACTTGAACAACTGCCAAACACAAAACCAAAGGCCACCTCTCCTTCAGAGGTCCCCATCGAGGTCCATAACTCCTTTGGCCCTCTGGATATGGAGGTAACTCCAACTCCACCTGACACCAATAGGAGTTCATCTAACGCTTTCTCACGTTCACGTGACATGTCACCAGTGGAAGCACCATGAATCCACAAAACATGATCCAATGGAATTGCAGCGGACTTAAGAATAATTATAATGAATTACAGTTATTGATTCAAGACTTCAAACCATCCGCGTTTTGTCTTCAAGAAACCTACCTAAAAAATAATAAATTTGACATCCGTCGGTACAGTTCCTACAACTCCTTTTCTCCTCCCGGTGTAAAAGCTACAGGAGGCACTTCTATCCTGGTGAGGCAGGGCATCCTTCATAGCCCTGTTCCACTTAAAACCAACCTACAAACTGTTGCTGTCCGCATGACTCTGAACATAGGGTTTACACTATGTTCCCTCTATCTCCCTCCCACCTCAACTGTACGCCTATCAGATCTTCAGAACTTATATGATCAACTCCCGAAGCCCTGCATAATCATGGGCGACTTCAACGGCCATAACCCCCCTATGGGGGAGTACTGATACAAATAGTAAGGGAAAGGTACTTGAAGAGTTTCTCTCAAATAATGATGTATGCATCTTCAACGATGGATCAAACACCTACCTCCATCCTGCCACTGGATCATACTCTGCTCTCGATCTATCACTTACAGATTCTAATCTTTTAAATGAGTTCGAATGGTCGGTCCATGACGACCTTTGTGGAAGCGACCACTTCCCAACAATTCTTACTCCTATCAACCCCACGGATGAACTAAGGCCAATTGGCCTTTATTCCAAACCCTATGTTCAGAAAAACTTAAGCCGGACAACTTCAGGAATGTTCCTGACCCCATGGAACTATTTTCAGACGTCCTAAATGCCATCGGAGACAAAAGTATTCCTAAGTCCTCTGCAAACCCGCACATACGCAAACCATGGTTTGATACAAACTGCAAACAAGCTAGGAAAAATAGGAAGAAGGCGGAAAAATATTTCCGACAACATCCTACAGTGCATAACCTGAATGCTGTTAAAATGACAAATGCCAGGGCAAAACGTACCTTCAAACAAACTAAACGCCGGTCATGGAGGAAATATGTGTCAAAAATCAACTCCCGCACACCCATGTCCAAGGTGTGGAACATGATTCAAAAGATCAAGGGCAAAGGGTCAAAATCAGGAGTTCACCACCTGAAAGATGGTGACTCCCTTCTAACAAATAAATCTGAAATTGCAAACAAACTTGGCGAAACTTTGGCAAACCACTCCTCCTCATCAAATTATAACCCTCAGTTCCAGAAATATCAAACCCAACAAGAAAAGAAACCAGTCAATTTTAACTCTGATAATGGGGAGGATTACAATGAAACGTTTTCCCTCCATGAATTACGTACTGCCCTAGGACAGGCTCACGACACTGCGGCAGGAGCTGATGAAATCCATTATCAGCTTCTGAAACACCTCCCTGACACAGGCTTGGAAACACTCCTAAATATATTTGATGACATCTGGACATCCGGACACTTTCCCCCTTCGTGGCACAATGCCATTATCATCCCTATACCAAAACCCGGTCGCGATCATACTGATCCCTCAAACTACCGTCCTATATCACTAACTAGCTGCGTTTGCAAAACCATGGAGCGCATGGTCAACAATCGATTAATCTGGTACTTGGAGACCAATAACCTCCTCAGTGACCTCCAATGTGGTTTCCGAAAAAACCGAAGTACCATTGACCATCTGGTGCGTCTGGAATCATTCATCAAAAACTCCATTGTCAACAAACAACATGCAGAATCTATCTTTTTCGACTTAGAAAAAGCATATGATACAACGTGGAAACATGGTATCCTAAAAGATTTACACGAGTTTGGATTGAGGGGTAGACTACCTCAATTCATATCTCGGTTTTTAAATAACAGACAATTTCAAGTTCGGGTGGGTTCCACACTGTCTGACTATTTCCACCAAGATCAGGGCGTCCCCCAAGGCAGCATCCTTTCTGTCACACTTTTTAGCATAAAAATTTACAGCGTCACTAACGTTCTGAACAGTTGCGTTGATGGGTCCCTTTTCGTGGATGACTTCAATATTTCATGTTGTGGTAAGAACATGCAAGCAATAGAAAGGCAGCTACAACTCTGCCTTAACAAAATCCAAAAATGGGCCAATGAAAATGGTTTTAAGTTTTCAAAATCCAAAACAAATTGTATTCACTTTTGTCGTAAATACAAACCACACAAGGATCCAGACCTAACTTTAGATGGTACTCCCATCAAGGTAGTAGAAGAGGCCAAATTGCTTGGACTCATATTCGACCGCCACCTGACATTCTTACCACACATAAAAAAACAAAGTGCTTGAAGGCTCTACACTTGCTGAAAGTAGTTTCAAATACAGAATGGGGAGGGGATCAGACCACCCTTCTTCACTTGTACAGATCATTAGTTCGCAGTAAACTAGATTATGGCTCCATTGTCTACGGTGGAGCCTGCAAAAGCAATTTAGAAAAATTAGACTCTATCCACCACCAAGGGCTGAGGCTCTGCCTGGGAGCTTTTAGGACCTCTCCGGTAGACAGTATATATGCGGAGGCCAATGAACCTTCCCTTGAACAACGCCGCATTAAACTCTCACTGCAGTATATCACTAGCTACGTTCAAATGAGTCCAATCCAGCATACAATTGTGTTTTCAACCCGCTCTATGAAAACCTATTTCCTAAACTGCCAAGCCTGGTTCCACCACTTGGAATCAGGATCAAACCACACATATCTGCAGCTAAAATTGATCTCAACATCATTGCACCATACCGACTTCTGTCCTCACCACCATGGCAAATGGTGAAACCACAGGTCGATCTTACCCTCACCAAACTCAAAAAGTCTGAAACAAATCCCTTGGTGTTCCAACAGGAATACAACCAGCTACGTTCGAAGTATAACACTCACAGATCCATTTTCACAGACGGATCCAAGGACGATGGCCAAGTTGCCAGCGCTACAGTCATTGGAGCCAAGACTGTCTCCTCTAGGATCCCCGACAACAGTTCCATTTTCACCGCTGAAGCCAAAGCTATCTACTCAGCTTTGACCTACATTCAACAGCAAAATCATTCCAAAAACTTCATCGTATTTACAGATTCACTATCCTGCCTTCAAGCACTTCTAAACGTGACCCAAAGTCACCCAATCATCCTGGATATATTAGAACTGTACAACGACCTTTCTACTGGCCAATGTGACAGCATCCTCTGTTGGTTGCCGGGTCACGTCGGCATAGCAGGTAACACTAAGGCCGATGCTGCAGCTAAAGCAGCTCTTGAAAAGCCCCTTTCTCCACTGCTAATCCCGTACAGTGATTTCAAACCCACTATCAAAAGCTATACTCGGGACCTGATGCAAAAAAGGTGGGACACTCAAGTAGGAAGAAACAAACTCCATGAATTGAAGCCAACAATCGGTTATACCTACTTGGGTTGCCAGTCAAGACGTGATGAGGTAATTTTACGACGATGTCGTATTGGCCACAGTCGGTTTTACATATGATATCTGCTAATATGTCTCTCCTGCGATGAGGCTTTCAACTATTCTGCTTGACTGTGTGGACTAACTACAAGGGACTCGCATTTCACCTCTGAAAGATCTTTTCCAGCGTGATTCTGATACTGTGCTATGATATAATGTAACTGTGTAATGTCACTAACGAATTTACCTGCTTTTCAATTTAGTGCTATGACATTCTCTGTTCTAAAATGACAATGTAATGAATGTATGTCTTTGAAACGAAACCACTTTGAACTTACAATGTATATTAATGCAGACTTGTTCTCGTCACTATATGGCTGGAATAATGCCGATATGACGTAAAGCCCAACTCAACTCAACTCACATTATTTATGTCAAGTAATGCCATAAGAGGAAGTGATGCAGAATCTCCATTTTGTATACTAGTGCAGCTCTGTGGAATGACTTCCACTGTATGTCAGGAATAAACCATACTTCGGGTGTTTTTAAAGGAAGTTGGACTCGAGTGCTTTTGGACAGTGTGGTTCTCATGTTTCATTTCTTGCATCATTCGAGAGTTGGATCCTGCACTGATAAATATATTACTCACCAAAACGTGTATTCTCAGTAGTTTGCAAGGAGGAGGGTGTATATATATATATATATATATATATATATATATTTCAGGAGGTGGGTATGAAACTCAGTATCAGAATATCAATTATATAATGATAATCATAAGCATTACTCTGATATCGTCGCGAGGGCCTTATATCACAAAAACTATATCAAGAACATTATCCAACCCTTGCTACAATGCAGTGATCACACAAATGTACTCACGTGGCAACTATTGGTACTTTTGCGTAGTTCATCTCCAGTACGTAAGGAAAACGTGTTTTCATCAGCCATCCAGTGAGGGTTATTCCAGCAGATGCAACACCGATAGATACACCCAAAGAAGCTTCGACTTTTCCGGCAACAAATGGACCTATGCTTGTCTAATGTATAACAGAACAACAAAACATGTATCATTGTTATGTTCAATGTTTGTAGTAACATAATGTTGGTTCAGAGAACCACTATGTTATTTGTTGCACTTAATCCAACGAGGCAGCGAGACGGTTCATGGGAGCTCATGTCTGTGAGTACAAGGTATGAAGCCCATTTCCAGTCATTGTGTAATGTGTCTACCCATTTTGCTTATTGTTCAACTTGTCTTAATGTCATGCACTGAAAGTCTCCTGAGAATGAGTATGGCCATCTACCTTCATTTGCTGGGGATCTATAGCCCATTTTTATTTTGTATAGTTCTCTATAATAATATTTGTTTTATGTTTACCTGCTAGTTTTACATTCTCTGTGATACTCTAGTATTTTTACTATTCTTCGTGAACAGGTTTTTTAATTCATAAATTTATTGATGATAATTGATTGTTATCGTCACGATATGGCTGAAATATTGCCGATGTGACGATAAATATTAACACACTCGCTCTCCTAAGAATGGTAGTTTCCCCTTTTCACTACACAAAGTATCTTTACATGCGATTTGGTATTTTACTTACTGACACTGATGATTTCACAGTCTGTACATCCACAGAAAACTCTACTCCAAGTTCTGCTCCAGCATCGAAAGCTGCAAGGAAAACGGTTATGACCATTTCAAAAATATATCATCAAAACAGACACTTAAAGGAAGTGCATAATAACTCAGATAATAGAAGAATGTTATAATCAATTATTACTTCGCTTCCAGAATTCCTAAAAACTACATGCCCTATTCAGTCATTGTCATGTGAAAGCACCTTCGGTTGAATGACTTTGACCTCAGCCATGACCTATGAAAACATTGAAGCATAAGTGTTGCTACAATATTTCTATAATATTCTGTGAATACAGCCAGAATATACAATCTGGAAATACATGCATGTTAGTTTGTGAAAGATCTAGATATGAACATGACAAAAGTGTTGTTATGTATGAACACTATATTGAACATTCGGGTTTATTTTGGATACATAAATGTTCCAGTACATGTTTAACGATAAGGTGACGTTGGTTGTCATTTCAGGTACAAGAGAAGATGGCAAATATCCTAGCCCTTACAAAATTTGAAAGAAAACAATCATTTGAGAGTTACTTAAAGTCCAACTTTATGAGAGAATTTCTGTCTAATCTTTATGTCCGCATGCAAGAATAGTTATTGACCTATAAAAACAATAACGTGAACTTAGGGTTAATATCTTTGTACTTCTGTGTCAAGAATACACAGGAAAAAATACAAATTTTGAAAATCCCGATTAGCACAATGCAGCAGTTGACAACCTTGGTTTTGTTTACGGACGTTTCATGAAATAGTACAAAGTTTCAAAAGTATGAATCAAAATCAAACTTGGAAATGGAAACGGACAAAACATAAGATCCTAACAATCCAAGGAGCATGGGCACCATTTACCAACCCGGTCTTCGTGTGCGCACAGTTTCATGAAAGAATACCAATTAGTTTTACAGATAATGGTCTGAGAAACACATTACTATGGACAGAGTCATACGTATTGCCATGGAAACAGGAAACAAATTCATTTCTTTGAAATTCCTAAATAGCAAAAGGCGCCATTGGTTACTGCGTGTAGCAGGTTGGGATGGAAAGTCTTTGAAGTTTTCGAGCGGTGCCCGGAAACAAAATCCAACCCCCTCAATCTTGAAAGCAATCCAAATTGTTTCCAGGAAAATTAAACTGTCAAAAGTCTGCAAATAGCAGTAGTCACCACTTCGGGATCTGCTTTATATATTTGCCAGGTATTGTTGAAACATATTGAACGGTTTTTGAGTTGTGCTCCGGAAACAAAATGATTATGGACTGACCTCCAGACAGAGGAGCCGCTGTCTACACACACCCGCATTACACGCCTCGGGATAAGAATGGACATTTGGCACAGGTTGTCGGTGTTTCAGTTAAGCACTTTAGGAAAGTATGACAATCCGATCTTTACCTTATTTGGTGTTCAATTCAGGGTTGGTTTGATCCAGAACCCATGAGATGATTTATGTTGAGTATATTTTCTGTGATAAATACTCACGTCATTAAAATGATCAAAATACCCATGGAATGTTTCTGTTTGGACGTGATTGTTATAATAAACACTTAACATGCCTTTGTATGTGTTTATGATGGGATGCACTTAATTTCTTTGTTTGTTGAGGTTTCATTTTTTTGTTTTTGCTGTTTGTCCGTTTTTTGGCGAGCTTCTGGTTTCTTAGATATTTGCGTTCAGGTAATGGACATGGTTTATCTTATATTTCCATCTATTTCATATGGAGTGACCGTGACCTTTAATGTGACCCAGTCATATGTCCGAAATATTTATAAAGCCTATCATCAGAGAGGTGGTGGCCTTATATGCCTTGAACTTCTTTCATAAAAGTTTGGTTGAGAAAACCGATTCTTTGATGCGGCGGCAGAACTAACATATGAGCAAACAGTGTTGCTATACCACTATTAAGCCTAGTTGTTATTATGTTGAATAAGAAACAGCCTACACAGCAAAAAAAACTTAGTTTCCATTCTTGCGGAAACCTAGTGGGTATTGGGTAAAGTAGGTTTCCGCTAGGTTTTAGTATACGGAAACAGACAATGAGAGTTTCCGCATAGTTTACAAAACGGAAACTAACAAATCTAGGTTTCCGTCAAGTTTCTACAACTGAAACTATCATTATGCGTTTCCATTTAGTTTCAATTCATAGCAAAATGACTTAGTTTCCGCTGTTGCGGATACTTGATAATGTAGGTTTCCCCTAGGTTTCTGTACCCGGAAACTGACAAGTCTGTTGGTTTCAGTTTAGATGAAACTTAGCTTTGTGCTGTTCGATTGGGGGACTATATTTCCTTACTGTTACATTTGCAGGATAGTTTATATATAAAGAATTCAGCTAGGGTCCATGCAGGAAGCAAAAGTACTGTAGGTTCACGTAGTCCCTAGTATACTGAACAGCAAAAGAAACGCAAGTTTCGAAAAAATGAAATCTCATGAAGGTAAGCGTTCATGTTTATGGAACGTTCATGGTAAAGTGCCGTAATGATCCCAGATGAAATGATGTCATGCAATTTGACGTCCATACGAAACATTCGCACAAACACACCAACAGTGCAGCAAAACCATAATTTTAGCACGTGCATCGACGGTTATGGATGAAAAGCATGCATTTCACTCTGAGGTATCCTTTATAACGGTTTGTGTCTAAAACCAGTTCAGTATTGACGCTAGGAGGTTTACACGCCACACAAACGATGCCTAGACTAACGACTGAGCAGAGGGGAATGGCCACTGGAAAGTTACACGGAGGTAGCACTGCAACCGCTGTAGCTAGACAATTGGGCTGTCATCTTACCACCATTACACGACTTGCTCAACGTCATCAGCAAAGCGGGTTGCTGCTGATCGTCCCGGTACCGGACGGCAACGAGTGACAACTCATGCGCAAGATCGGTTCATCCGGGTCACTCATCTAAGGAACCGAACTCAAGCAGCAACAGTAACAGCAGCCTTTGTTCTTGGGTCAATGGGAGCAGTGCCAAGCGATACGATTAGGCGTCGTCTTCGGGCTGCTGGAATCCACTGCCGAAGGCCATATGTGGGGCCAATTGTGGCACGTCAACAACGCCAGCGACGTTTGCAGCTCTCACACAGCAAGGGTGTCGATGGATTATCTGGCTCAGAACAACATTAACGTTTCTTTCCCCGGATATGGCTCCCATTGGACATTCTGGGACGAAATTGGACGGAGGATTGCTGCAGGTAGACAGCCAATCACACTTGCACAGTTGGAATAGAGATTGGTGTTTGAGCGGAACCAGTTGCCTCAGGCATTCTTTCAGACTCTAGTGAACTCAATGGGGCCACGTTGCACGGCCTGTGTGCAAGCTCAAGGTGGCTATACGCGCTACTAAAGAGACTGTCACTTTTCGCGTTCAGGGGTATCTCCATTTGACGGACTGTGATCAATTTGAACTTATTGCAATTCAATGTCAACAGCAACCTTTAGCTGTTACATTGACAGTGTTTTCTATAGAATAAATGATTAGACATAATTTGGGTTGTCTTCTATTCAAAAACTTGACAAAAATCCAGACTTGCGTTTCTTTTGCTGTTCAGTATATGTTGATCATGATTCATCTGTTTCATTATTTTAAATAGCTCACATTTCAATAGACCTCAACCAAAAATTCAAAGCTGTATGTGTATGTATGTGTGTGTGTGTGTGTGTGTGTGTGTGTGTGTGTGTGTGTGTGTGTGTGTGTGAGAGAGAAGCCACATCAAGAGGGAATCTTCAGCATTTGAGAACACAACTTTTGTATAAATATGCAAATAATCAATATGTCAAACCCTTACAACCTTTTATGCTTACAATAAAATGGGGTCAACTAGTGCTGGCATAACATACTTGCTGTGGTATTTATAAACAGATTTCAAATGCAAATGTTTATTGTATGAAAGGTCATTGGCCCAAATACATGTGCATTTGAAGCTGCCTCAATGTATCTCAACATATACACACTAACAATCACACAAAGTAAAGACTTGGCAACTTGCTGACAATCATGAAGCTTCTGTTGCACTCATACTGAGCAGGCAGCCATCTTCTGATCTCGTCCATATGAAGCAGAGCCAAAGTTGAGACATTTGTTTTTGTCCCACAGAGAAAGGGGAAATATAACCAAGTTGATCACCGCATGGCTTGAACCAGTCCACAACCGCAAACAGATTATTTCATTTTAATTACCCATACTGTTTCCACCATGGTATTTCCCCATCACATCGAAATGATGGTGTGGACTTTTCCATTCCTCTCTTTTACATGTTTTCTTTCTTTTCTCTACTTTTGTAAAAACATCTTATTTGACTTTATTGGATGCTTTTACTCTCCCCCAGTTGACTCTGACATCTATTTGCAAACTTATATGTGGAAACAAATGACATTTTGTGTGTATTTAAAACAAGTACATGATGGTTTTGCTGTGCATCTACCCGCTGCCTACAATAGAATGTTTGAATGTATAGATGCCGGTTGACATCAGTCAGTACAGACAGGCAGTGGGGACATTTGCAGTCGGGCTACACTCATATGCAGTTTGTAAACTAAATATTTTCACTTTTCTGTCCAGACATCTTTGCGTTTTCAGCAAATCTGTTAGTATTATCGCATCTCTTCTAATACTCTGTTGTGGAGACGTACATCCTAACCCCGGCCCAGTACTAAATACTTTAAAGATAGTCCACCTAAATGTTTGCAGTCTCAAAGACAAATTAGATGTTATAGAAGTTGAATTTAATTCTTTTGATATCATTTGCATAACTGAAACGTGGTTGCATAAAGACATTCCGAACGATGATATTCTTATACCGGGATTTCAACCTCCATTCCGCAAAGATCGAGGGAGTCGCGGGGGCGGTGTGGCTATATATGTTAAAGACAATTTGTATGCGGAGCATATGCACCAGCTCGACATTGCTGGACTTGAAGCCGTATGGGTTCATGTTAAATGTAAACACCGTACCTACCTCATAAGTACCTTCTACAGAGCTGACCGAAGCATTGCGTACTGGGAACTAATTGATCAGTCAATTGGAAACGCTGTTG